ATTTATTTAGACCACTAATCTAAACTCGATTTGAATCATCGATCCAATAATCCAATACAGATTTATAAAAAAATAGCCTCCCATCCAATAAACACCGTCTTAAAAAGGGAGAGAGAGAGAGAGAGAGGGAGGGAGGGGCTACTCGAGCTAAATTGGAAATAAGTACCAATTAACAGCTCTTTTAATTTTGGCATGAATTAACTTATTATTGTAATTTCCATTATTATTCATTAATCACCGAAATAAAAGACAAAATAGGAAAAACAAGGAAAAGGTAAAATTGGGGTCTTCTGACGCACTCTGTCAACCCGACCTGACCAATGGCAGACATCAGAGATCCAGTCAAACCCTCGGTCAAATACCCCTTAAAAGCCCAACCTTTCCATCATGGGCAAAATTACTATACTGCCCCGATTATTTCCTAAAATTATATTAACGCCCTTGTCTTCTACTTCCTTAACCACGACACCCCACTGACCTTTTAGGGATGAGTCCAAAAGGAACTTCGTCGCCTTTTTCGATTATGACTATTATGCCCTCGAAAAGTGCTCCCATTTTCGAATTTTCTTCACCAGGGGAAAGTCGGCAGAGAATATAATTTCGGAGAAAGTGAGAGGTCTGATGTCCGAATTTTTTATATATTTCGAACCGAAATTTACCCACATTTATGTCGATACAATATTTTAAGGGCAATTTATCAATTTACTCATAAAAGATAAATCGGTAATGATCCTATGAGACCTTCCCATACCCATGTGTAGAATTCGAACGGATCGCAATTAAATTAGACACAGATCTTTAGAAAAGTCATCACATGACTGTGGGACTTGACTTTTCTAAAGATATGTGACAAATTTAATGGTGATCATTTAGAATCCTACACATATGGGTGTGAGAGGGTCTTACAACGTCATTTTTCAAAATAAAGAATCTAACACTTTTTGTATTTTTTGGTTTAATTTCAAAATAACCATAAAAAAAGGCATAATATGGTCTTGAGTTGTAGTTCCAATCGTGCAAAATATTTAGTAATTCAACTTTAATGAGTAGTTTGATAAATTTCTCACATTTTAATTGCAAACATAGGGCCTCTTTATTATTGTTGATGATTTACTCATCATCATCGTCAACGTCTTTTCTCAACTAATTAGAGTTGATTGTACGAATCTTGGTCTGCTATTCTGCTCTATTAAGAGTCTTATTCTCAGTGAGTCCATACTACCTTTTATCTTTTCTCACTACTTCCAACCATATTCTTTTGGATCTATCTATTGCTCTTTTTTAGCCTGTCACTTGAACTAACTCTCATCTCTTAACGGGTGTTGTATTGGATCTGCACCACACATGAGCACTTCACCTAAATCTACCCTCTATCATCTTATTGTTCATTGGTGCTATAACTAAAATTTCGTGAACGTATCCATTTCAAATTCTATCATTTTTTGTCTTGCCACTCATCTATCTCAATATCCTTGTCTTCACTATACGTATTATATGGGTATATTATTTTTTAACCGCCCAACATTTTGCTCTATAAAGCAAAATTGGTCTTACAGTTGTTCTATAGAACTTGCCCTTCAGCTTCATTGATATGCAGCTATCACATAAAATCCCAGCTGTACATCTGTACTTCGCCCCACCCAACTCTAATTTTACGTGCGACATCTTCCTTAATCTCTCTATTTTCCTGGATTATCGACCAAAGATACCAAAAGTACGTTCTTTTTGGTATTTTCTTGCCGTCAATCTCAACTACTTTCTTGTCTCTACTTCTATTATTATTAAATTTGTATTTTATACTTTGTATTAGTCTGCTAATTTTAAAACCTTTATATTCGAAAGCATCCCTCCAAAATTCTAAGTTTGTGTTGAAGCCATTTTGAGTCCAAACTGTGTCATCTACAAAAAACATGCACTACGGTACCTCTTCTTGCAATTGCCTTGTTAAGTCATCCATAACTAAGACAAAGAGGTATGGGCTCAATGTTCACCGTTGATGTAGACAATTGTCACTGAAAAACTCAATTGTTTCTCCACTAGTTATCCATACACTAGTTAGCACTCCTTCATACATATCTCTCACCAAGTCGATGTAATGTCTAGAAACTCCTTTATTTTCCAACACGTATCAAATCAACTCTCGATGTTCTCCATCATAAGTTTTCTCTAAATCAATAAAAGACTATATGAAAGTCTTTTTCCTCAGCCTTAAACTTCTCAATGAGTTGCCTAAGTAGGAAAATAGTCTCAATCGTTGTCCTCCTTGGCATAGAACCAAAATGGTTTTTTAATACTTTCGTTTCATGCCTTAGTCCTTGTTCAATCACTATCTCCTAGAGCTTCATAATGGCTCATAAGTTTGATCCCTAGATAGTTCGCATAATTTTGTATGTGTTTTTTATTCTTGTAAATAAGTAGCACAATATATTTATTTTATTCATCTAGCATTTTATTTATTCTGAACACCTTGTTGAATAGCTTGGTCAACTAGTCATTGCCAATCTCTCTCATGCACTTCTATACCTTTATCGGGCTACCTATGTAGTCTTAAAACTTTTCCTATCTTCAGCCTCTTCAAAATTTCATTCACTTTTGATATCATAGTCCTGCTAATGTATCTATGACATCCGCCCTTAGTTATGCCAATGGAGAATTCTACAGCTATGTTCCAATTGTGCTCGTCATTTAATAAATTTTTAAAATAAACTCTCTACCTTTTGTTGACATCTTTATCATTCATCAAGATCATTTGATTCTCATTTTCAATACATTTAATATGCTCTAAATCCCTACATTTTTTTTATGTTAATAATATTGTTGATGTTTACTATGTTAAGAAAATTAGGAAAATTTTATCTAAATACTCATGAGATGAATATTTAACATTTTATATATAATGTTTGATTTAATTTTAAAATACACATCAAAATCTGTATGATTACTATTTCAGGTATAATGTTAAATAGTTCATCTCTTATAAGTATTTTGATAAATTTCCCTAACATTAATCTAACAATAATGTATTTGTTGTTTGGTAGTATCCGTCGTAAAGTTCTCTAACACAAACTTAGGTAGTTTTACATAGAAATTTATCTTTTTGAAAAAACTGGTTTTTCTTTATTCAAAGTAATTTGCTAAAAATCACATTTTTTTGACAAAAATAGCGAAAGATGAAAATACCCTAAAAGTTAAACAAGTAAATAATATTGCACATATCACAAGATACATCCCAAACAACTAGCAAAATAATATTATAAAAAATATATTAATTTTAAATAAGATAATATATTTAAAATAACATTTATTGTTACTATACTTGAATTTTTCTTTTCCTCTAGGTTAGGGTTTAACTTAGAAAATCAAAAGCAACGCACACCTTAAGCTTTATTCGAAGATGCAATTCCAGTGCCAAAAATCTGTACAATTGCTTACATCAAACGTACCTATAAACACTAAGAAATATTAAAAAAGAATACGATATCTTAAACTAGATAGTAAAGATCCTATAGGATGCTCCCCCACCCATGTGTGTAGGACCCCAAAGGATCACCATTAAAATTGGCACGGATCTCCAAAAAAGTTATCACATAGGTGTGGGACTTGACTTTTCTATAAATCCGTGTCAAATTTAATAGTGATCTTTTGGGATCTTACACATATGGATGGAGGAAGGTCCTAGAGGATCATTTCTCTAAAATAGAATATCCACAATATGAATTACAAGAGGCAATACTTGAAGTCCTTCCGTGTTTAGGTCCACATATATAATGGTTGAAGCTGAAATGATCAATTTGTAAATTTTCCATCCCAAGAACAATTGTTTAAAGTGAATTATGAAGTGTAAAGGTACAAAATATGAACTTTTTTTTATAATTTTTTAAAAAAAAATTAAGGAGAGAAAACCAATACAATCGAAAAAAATGCGGGAATGTTTTTACTACCAATATTTGGTAAAGGAAAATGGTTTTGTAGGGCTGCAATCCTATTAAAATAAGTAAAACCTCACCTCATAACTCATCAAAAATTACAATTCAAGCATTAAAAAAACCTCCAAACCAATCATCTCACCTTGAACATTATGGTTGTGTAAAAAAATTAGGATTTCAAATTTTAAAATTAGGGTATATTACAACAAATCATCTAGCCCATTCATTTCACCCTAAAAATAAGTTTTCACAGATCCGCAAGATTTGTATAATTTTTTAATTTTCAAATTTTGTCGTCGGTGCTAAAAATTAATTTTAGATATATCATAAAGAATTCCGATGCCAAAAATGCTTTCTGAATGAGGATATAAGGTGAGGCTTTATTTTGTTTTCATGAGCCTAGGCCCTATAGAGACAGACTTCATCCTTTGGTGAGAGGTGTTCCGGCCATCTCTATAAGGGAATTCAGGTATTTACCTCCTCTTTCAAGGAAAGGGTAATTTCGTACTTTCAGGATAACAAACCCAGGGAACAAGGAATATTCTTATGGGAAAAGAGGCATTCAGCTTAGGTGCCCCAGGGGTATTTCAGGCATTTCCGAAGGTTCCAATCAATATTCTGTAATCGTCTGAGGGGCATTCGCGTCATTTTAACATATACCAGGCGGAGGCATTTTGGTCATTTAGGCAGCTGTTGAGGGCAGAAAGGGGCACAACGCAAAATGATAAAGGGCTTTTTCGTCATTTCAGCTCACGAGATGATTTCTTGAGTATTTTCATGCCAAAAGAACGAAAGTACGTATGGATCCTCTCACTGAATACAATCACCGGTGAGGGGCATTATAGTCATTTTGAAAAGGTCGAACTCCCCATTGGCCAGCCCACTGGAGAGAGAGAAGAGGACGCGAAGCTAGAGAGAGAAAGATGAAGAGAGATGAGCTGTGAAGAGAGAGAGAAAATAGAGGGTAGAGAGAGAGATGGAGAGATGAGCTGTGAAGAAAAGAAAGAGAAGAGAAAATAAAGTGAGAAACTGTAGAGATAGGGAGACTTGGAGAGGGAGGGAGGGAGGGATGAGAGAGAAAACGAACGAAAAATACGTAGAGAGAGAAGTAGAGATGAAGAGAGACAAAACAAACAATGGTTGTGTAGGACTGCACCACCAACCTGAGCATCTGCCGCTGCCATTCCAGCATTGAGCAGGAGCCTAAAAAACAAATTCAGAGAGAGAGAGAGAGAGAGCGAGAAGTAACTCTCTTTCTCCATTTCTAGAGAGAGAGAGCGCTCAAAAACCTTCCATCCTATTTGGGTTTTTCCCCACTGAAATGCCAAAGCCATGGGTGACCCAAACACCGCAGTAGTAGTGGCTCAAGAACAATCAGGCCCCTCTTCTTCTTCTCCCAATGCACCAAGAGAATACAGGAAAGGGAACTGGACTCTCCATGAAACCATGGTGTTAATCAGAGCAAAGAGAATGGATGATGAGAGAAGAATGAAAGGAGGAGATAGAGAGAGGAACAAAACTGCCGAGCTCCGATGGAAATGGGTTGAGAATTATTGTTGGCAGAATGACTGCCTCCGAAGCCAAAACCAGTGCAACGACAAGTGGGATAATCTCTTGAGAGATTACAAGAAAGTGAGAGATTACGAGGCCAGAAGGGCTGAAGAACCAGGAGGTGGTGCTCCTTCTTATTGGCAAATAGAGAAACAAGAGAGGAAAGAGAAGAATTTGCCCTCAAATATGGTGGCTGAGGTTTTTGAGGCTCTTAATGAAGTGGTGAATAAGAGGTGTAATCCCAATGTTCAAAGGGCATTGCCTCCTATTCAGCAGCAACTTCCACCACCACCTCCTCCTCCTGCTCCTCCACCACCACCACCACCTTCACAACCATTTTCAGGCACTTATTCTCTTGTTTCTTGATTCAATTATCTTGGTTTTCTGCAGTTATTGTGATTATTTATTTGACCGTTTCGTTGCTTTCTATGGTGGATTTTTGGGGTTTGAGAATTTTGATTTTTATTATTTGTTTATTGGTTAATTGGTTTGTTTTCTACCATGGATTTTTGGGGTTTGGGGATTGAGACATGGATCGTTTGGATGCTATTTTTGATTTCTTTGTTTGTTTGCTTGTTTATCCTTGATTTGGAGTGTGCAATAAGGAATTGAAGCTTCTTAGACTTAGATTTATTTGCGTTCTTTATGGATTTTGTTATTGTTGTTTGTTTTCCCTTTGTTTATTTGTTCATTTTAGATTTATTTGGGTTCTTTATGGGTTTTGTTATTATTAATATAAGGGTGGCATGATGATTTGAAAATCATTTGACATTTATCCCTAGCTCAGTTACAAAAATGACTTCAATTTTTCATTTCATAAGAAAAAATATCACTTTATATTTATAATTTTCACATCAAGATATATGTATATATAAAAAAAGTGATCACTTCATATGTGACAATTGATGTTATCAGTTTTGTTGAAGTGCCTTCTATCAAGGTTTCATTTTCTCCGTAATGCTTTTGCTTCTGTTGTTTTTTGTTATTTCCCTTTCCACTTTGGTGTATTGATTTGATCTCCTTTTGTTTTTGTGAGTTATCTTCAATGTATCAATGATATATCAAAATCAAACAGTGTCCCTCTCTCTCTTTCACTAAAAACTTCGCTTTATTGATTTGCAATTCGAACCGAAACCATTAATGGATCTCTGTGACCTTGCAACCTTTCAAAGTTGGACTTTCTCTCACTGACTTCGTGGCCAATCTCAAACCTCACACCACCCAAGTTTAGGTGCCTCCACGTTAACTATTGCATAGATTTCGATCCCCCTCTCTCTCTCTCTAAACTTCACATAAAAAGCTATATCCCTCAACCCCACAAATAAACTGTTGTAGATATTGTCATTTTCTCTCTCTAAATAACACCTGAAATGTCTTATCATTCATGGTTAAATATCATCTGAAATGTCTTATCCTTCATGGTTTCTCTTTCTAAATATCATCTGAAATGTCTTATCTTTCATGGTTTCTCTCTCTAAATATCATCTGAAATGTCTTATCTTTCACGGTGTTACAGGTGATATCTATGAGAGTTCAGATTCAGATCACACTGAGAAAACTGATTCAGAGGCCAAGAGGAGGAAGCTCAAGAACTTGGGGCCAAGCGTGGTGAGAAGTGCATCAATGCTTGCACAAACTATGCTCACATGTGAAGAGAAGAGAGAGAAAAGACACAGAGACATTATAGAGATAGAAGAGAAGAAGCTTCAAATGGAGGAGAGAAGAACCGAGATGAATAGACAGGGGTTTTCGGGCCTCGTTTCATCTGTGAATAATCTCTCTAACGCCATTCTTGCCCTGGTCTCCAATAGAAATGATGGGAAATAAGAAACCCAACAAATTTTTATGTTGAGAATCATTTGTATAAAAACAATTGGCCCTCATTTTTATAGGGAGGTATTCTTAGTGTTTCAAGTGTTTGGGGTTTTACTTTCTCACTCATCAACTCTTGGGTTCTTATCACTCATCGAGTGTGACTAAAGAGTATGAAGATCTGTTCCTCTTTCTCTCTCTCTCTCTCTTATTTTTAAAGTTCATCCTTTTGTTTATTGTTTCTTTTTGGGGGGAGGAGAGAGAATAGTTATTGCATTTGAGGGTGCAGGTCTCCTTTTTCTGTCTCTTTTTAGCAGGTCGAGAGGTTCCCCACCCATGGGGTGAGATGAAATCCGGCTCTTTACGAGTGTGATATATTTATTATACGACCCAAAGCTTTTGCTTCTTTCGAAAAAACTGACCAAACAGAGAGGGGGAGAGGCTTCGTTTTTTAGAGAGAGAGAGAGAGGGTGGTTCCGTTTTGAGAGAGAGTGGCGTGGTGTTTTAGAGAGAGAAAGAGGTTTGGTGTTTAGAGAATGAGTGGCTTAGTATTTCAGAAAGAGAGAGAGAGAGTGTGGGCTTGTAATGGTTTGATAAGGCTGGGCCTATTAATGCAAGTAAAGCCTCGGTTCATAACTCATCAAAAATTGTAATTCAAGCAATGATCAATCTTGTACAAAAATTTTAGGATTTCAAGCTTAAAAAATAGTGCATATTGTAAAAAATAATCTAGACAGTTCATTTAGCACTAAACATAAATGCTCATGGATCTTATCTACAAAATAGATGGTATATTTTTTGAGTTTCAAATTTTACTGAAAATTGATTTTAGTACACCATCATATGGCGCATAGTGCTTTTTGGAGAGGATTTGAGGTGAGAATTTATTTGGTTTTCACAAACCCTAGGCTTTATAGAAACTTTTTTATTTTATTTTATTTTGTTGCATGGTTAGTGAGTGAGGAAGGGTGGCTTGTTTGGGAGTTTTGGGGTTTTTCCAACTTTGCGTAGTTAGTCAGTGAATGAGGAGAGGGCTTCAAAGGAGGCTTAAAAGTAAAAAAAAAAAAATGAAAAGAAAAGAAAAGGGGGAAAAGATAAAGGGAAAAAGGAGAAAAGAAGGTTGGTGCTGCTTTTGGGTAATATGATGTGCTCCTTAGGTTTCAACATGTTTCGATGCTCCGTGAATCATAGACAACCTGAATAAATCATAACAACCTCCTTGTGTTGTGTGTGCTACACGCACGCACGCACGCACGCACGCACGCACGCACTCAAGAGAGAGAGAAATAAAGGTTAAATTTAACTGCCATGTGCATCTAGTTTCAAAACAACTTTCTGCTATAAAAGAATCTCATTGTTTGGGTTCAGGCACTCATAGTGATAGAGAAATTAGATTAAAGCTTAATTTATAACCTGTATGAAATTCCATGTGCATCAAGTTAACAAGAGAATCTCTTTGTCTGCTCACAAGCATTGCTAGAGAGAGAGAGAGAGAGAGAGAGAGAGAGAGAGCTCATGTATTCTGCCTTGCCTTCTGAAAAACTTAGTAAGATGTAAATGCATTGATCAATAAAATGAGTTGCCTTTCTCTCAAAGAGACAAATAGGTTCATTTTTAGTACTGTTGGGTTCAAGAAGTCAATAAACTTCTCTAGACTTTCCCTTTGAATATGATGAAACCTCTATGATTTTTCCATCCTTTACTTGGAGCTCCCTCGACGACAATAATTAATACTAACCATCCTTCGTTTCTCCGCAGCTTTCTTCTGAGATTTTGATTCATCATGTTGACGTATCTCGGTACCAAGCAACTCTCTTAAAAGTCCAACCCCACTCTCAAAGCCCATATAAAAGCCCCACCCCAAGAAAACACTCCCTCTCAAAGCCCATATAAAAGCCCTGGCCACAAGAAAACACTCTCTCAAAGCCCATATAAAAGCCCCAGCCCAATATAACACCCAAGGCCCGTACAACACATCGAGTAGGCCAATCAACCATGTCAAGAGCTCTCTTTTTTTTTTTTTCTTTTTTTTTTTGGTGAGTCAACGGAGAGGGGGGCCCAACCGTCGGTAAGAATTAAGCCTAGAATATAGTGTTGCAACTCATCGAACGCTAACCAATTAAACCCAGGTTCTTTCCTAGGGCAAGAGCTCATTTTCAGTATACTTATAAGGGTAAATGAGTATACTTATAAGGGTTTTTAACATTTTTGAGGTGCATTTGTGAGCCACTCAAAAGTACTTTTAAGTCTTTGAAAGTATATGAATGAAACGCTCTAAAAGGGTAGAGGGAAAACCGATAAGGGCATGTACGGAAGCAATGAAAAAAGATATAATTGACCTAGAGTGAGGGTACGACATTTAATAGAGTAGAATGACGGAATATAATTCATATATCAAACTTCAAATAATTGAGATAAAGATTAGATGATGATCACGATTAACACTCAGCATTCAATTCGGCTACACGGTTTGGGCATGGATCTTTTGCACTGTTTTGTGCAAGTTTTATAGAAAATCATTAATAAATATTAAATTTATTATTAATATTGCCTTGGCAATAATTAAATGAATCCAATCAAGTGTATTGATACCTTTTTAAGAGTTAGTGACACCTGAAATCCATTAAGCTTTAATCTAAACAAACTCAATTTACACTATTGGAGCTTAATTACAATTTGGTGACACCTCATCCATTATTGAAGTCTGACTAAGGTAAGGCGAGTCTGACTAAGGTAAGGCGTCCTGTCCTAGGTTTCGGCTTAGTGCGGTAAGTTTATCATTAAATTTATAAAAATAAAAAGTTAACTTCTAAAAATAAATTTTAAAAAAAAACTTTTAAAAATAAAAAATAAAAATTATTTTTGTGATGTTCTATTAATACTGTTCATTTTCAGTCTACGTGAGACCACCATTTTTTTACATCCATCTTTAAGATGGATGCGGAATGTTTAAGGGGACGAACATGTAGAAATGTGTCCCCTAACGCATGAAACAATTCACCTTTAAGTTTATTACCTTTTTTTTTTTTATAAGTTGAATTAAAATCAAATTTGATATGTTTATACTTCTCCCTAATATTTATCTATGAGAATATTAAAATACAATTTAAAATAAAAAAATTACCAAACTACTCCCATACTATTTAGGGGTACCTTAATAATTTTATTTATTTTAATTTTTAAAATGTGTTCTATTGGTATATAATAGTGAAAAGTATGAACATACTAAATTTGAACATAATCTAACATATAGAAAATGAGATAAAATTTAAAAACTCTCTATATTATTAAAAAAATAGACATAATTGTAAAATATGAAATCTTATCGGTAAATTTCCCTAATCTAAACACTTATTACTAACCTTTTTCTTTAAAATATTGCTATGAAAGCACATAACTCACTCACCATCCTACATCCCCTACATTAAACTAAGCTCGTGGCTTCTAATACTCATGTCGACGTTGATGCTGATACGGGACTCCATGTCCATGTACATTCTCCAAATATCTTAGGGCAAATACTACCCTGTCTGAGAATGGTGTTTGGAGAATCTTTGTAGTAGTACCACTTAAGCTCTAGCTAAGATCTAAGCTCTTATTTTCACCTAACGAATTAAAAAATAATTAATTTATTTTAAAAAATAGGTAGAGGCTCGTTATCCCCACTAAATTATCAAACAATATGTATATATATTACAATGTGTAGAGAGAGTTAAAATTAGCATTGTCTTGTAGAATCTATACATTTTGCTTCATTAATAGATACAATAGATGGGATAGTTTGCAAAGAGAATTTATGTTTTGTATATGGATGTCACGATCATTCTTGTGCCTTAAATTTTCGAAGAACAATTGTTTCATGCGGGATGGACCTCATTTCTATAATATGCGGTCCAAAGGTATAAAGTATACATCTTAAAGATAGATGCAAATAGGTGGTCATCTAAAAACATTGTAACTAACGATCCAAATGTTTTTTTTAAATATTTATTATTTCTAGTTTTGAAAATTTGTTTTGTTTTTCATATTCATGATCTCCATGTTAAAGATTATATATTTTCTAAAAATTAGGATCAAATTATATTTAAAATATATATTTATTGTCTACCCTACATTTCTACAACATGCGGGCTGGTCGCATGCTATCCGTCGTACATTTTAAAACGGGTGGTTGTAAGAGTGTCATTTAATAGATACAAAGTTCCAAATAAAATAAAATCTCCAACTTTGTGACTTACCTCAAGTCTTCCAATTTTAACATCTAATGAGTGGGAATGATTTTGACCTCCATATAGATAAATTGTCTCTTTGTAGACAATCCTGTAGTATATTGTCATATATAATCCATGCTCTTTGCTTTATTTTTATTTTGAAAAGGATACATGTGTTTTTCTTAGTAAGTGTTTGAAGAATCAGATTGGCCACCAAACCAATGCAAGGTCTTGTCTACTCAAAATGAGTTTGATTGCTGGTTAAATTGCATTTCAAAAAGTAAAAAGTAAAAAACATAAAAAAAGAAAAAAAAAAAAACAAAAAATTTGTTGTTTAATTGGTCTAACATATCGAAACTAGCCCATCTGACCAGCTAAAACCACTAAAAGATTGATCCTAATCAACTTTTTGTTCAGCTTTGGACGAGAACTGCCAAGACATCATGTGAGCCATTAGTGGTAACTATACTTTTGGTTCATCACAATGTTATGGTATATAGGGGATCCTTTCTAGAAAAGTAATACTAATCCTAGTGAACCTTCTATCATGATTTTTTTAAAAACTATTTTCCTTTTTTTTTTAAGTCAACCTTCTACGGTGACTATCATGGCTAATAAGCCGCATCAAACAAGGTATATGGGCCTTTATTTTTTATTTTTCAATCATTAACATAAGAGGTCCTTTTACTTCTAAAATAGGAAGAAAATTCCACTACCCATCGTTTCAAAAAACTAAAAAGAGGAAATATCCAGAAAAGAGAAAACCATTTATTTACGGAACTCATAAGTTTGGCATACCAAACACGTTGAAATGTATTTCTCACACTAAAAGCATGGGCCCTCCAACATTTCGAGGCCTATTAGAATGGGGTATTGAACGTGTATGGTCATTTCCGTCATTTTAGAATTTAGAGAGAAAGAGAAAGTGGTTTCTGGATTTGGA